ATCGCGCACACGCGGTCTCCGCGGGGTCCGAGCGTGACGCTCCGAGAAGCGGAGCAGCCACCCCTGTAAAGTGCATAAACAAATTCCAAAGAACAAGGCGAGAGCCGAGCTCAAGTGGAATGGGCACTTGCTCTTACATACATGCGTCGACCTCTTAAATGTCCCAGAGGTTCTCAAAATACTCGCCGATTCGGGGAAAAACGCGTATGCGTGACATATCGCGGAATTTATCTACGGGAATTCATGTAACTTTATATTTAGCACGTGGTACTTCAAACCCGAAATAAAAAAAAAAGAAAAAAGAAAAAAAATACACGAAAGAGATCCTCAAGATAAATATTTCCAAAAATAAGTACCGCCTCGAAGTGTCCCTCTTCGAGGGACATTTAATTTTTACTGGGTAACTCGGAATTTTGGAATAACTTTATTTTATTTTTTTTATTTTTGAATAATTCTGCATTGCGTTATTTTTTACCGTCGATTCTTTCTTCAAAAAACGAATTTTCGTTAAAAGTGAGTACGTTTCGTAGATATGTTAGGATTTGCTCGAAATACACGTCGCGCCGTCTGCCGACGAAGAGGTGAACCTCGTACGGCGCTCGCGAGCAACGTCGGTAAAGTAGCGGCCGGCAATGCCACTTTCTCCTGCAAGTCGGTACCACCGCGTCGCAACAAAGAAATGATCCCGAAGTACGGATGCATACACGTTTGGAAAGGTAATTGTCAATCATGTGTTATCGATGTCAATGGCTTCGTCTTTCTTTACATAACCCCGAGTAACATATCGGCAGCGATCAGCAGTCCGAATCTTTAATCCACCGACACAGAAAGGATTTTCAGTCATTCCAGGAGACGTTATACGTTTCGCATTTTACGGACAAAGACTGTGCACATTTCCGTCTTACGCCACTCTCCCTATCTTGGGCTCAGAGATTCGTTACAAGAAATAAACAATAAAGCCGGATATCCGGCTTCCTGCGGGAAATGTTTATGGTAAGATAAAGGATGGCCACTTTCTTTATCCTTATACCATCGGCCCTACGTCTGTACATTTGTCGCTGAGCCGCCAAACTGACTTACTCTTTTTTGCAGATAATTCCTGCCTTCGCGATAAAAAAAAATCGAGAGATAAATTAAGCAAAAATATCCAGCGAGATTGATATATCTGTGGGCGTGCAACCAGGTTTCTTCCAAGCAATAATTAGTTAAATAATAAATGACCGGCGTGCGACCGAAACGAGTGCTTAAGGGGTCTCGGTGGGCGGATTTTCAGGAGTACCAGGAATATTCTAACCGCAGCAACAGCTGTCACGCGAGCCAGCAACAAGGGAGCTGACTCATTGCTGCACAAAAAGCCGCACTCCCCGGCACCTGTCCCTTTCGCGTATACTGACTACGGACTGCGATAAATGAACTAAAAAAAAAAAACATATTTTACGGCGCATTCGACCCCTCGACTTGGTCGACGCGAAAAAGACCTCGCGCGATTCCAGTGGAGATTTTGCAAAAGTGCATTCCTCGCGGTGCTAAGATGATACGAGGAATACCAACGAGCATAGAGCGCCTTCTGTAGGATTAAAATTAATGGAACGATCTTTTATAATGAAGGTTTAAAGTGGTTTCGAAAATTACACTCAAATTTTTGTACGATTTGCAAATTAAACCGTCCAATCTCGTTACCATTTACATATTAAACCACCCAAAATTTCGTTATCATTTGCAAACTAAACCATCCAATTTCTTACCATTGGCAAATTAAACCAGTCAAAATTATGGAACATACCGGATACCAGCCGGGACAGAGAAATGCAATTTTACAGTGATTTAAATCACTTTCGCGTCGACGGAATGAATGTCATGCGAATGCAGTCGATGGTGCAAAATGCATCGGTTTCGGCATCCAACGGAACAAATACAGCTAACGAGCACAAGGAACGTTCTATCGAATCGAAATCGTGCGAATCGAATCCGATTTTCTAAATATTCGCCCGATTTGGCGGGGTCTAATCTCTCCATGAAATATTTCCCGTTCAGTCGTGGTAAAGCGTTTCCACTCCTTTTAATCCCTTCGGCCTTCTCTTTCGCATGTTGGAAGTTTATGGTCATACAATGCCGGCCTGTGACGTTACAACCCCGAAAAAGACTTCCTGCTTTATATGCCATGCTACGGACCTACTCGAGTTGAATATGAATCTTATATCGCTATTAATGACCTCCTCTATACTCATACATGCAATCTGCAACGTGCTCATATTTCACCGCAACAAGAAAAACGCCGACGATTGTATAAAAGAAAGGCGTATAAAACGAAGCAGAATGTGTACGCGATTCATACGCAGAAGTGCAAAATAAATCTAAACTGGCATAAATGAAGGATGAAACGGATTGCATGAATTTTCAACTACATAACCAGTTAACACTGACCGAGCATAATGATATTTATCGCGGCATGACTCACAACTACACGACTACAATTCCTTATTCAAGTTTCCTTCGTCGAACAATGAACTACAAATCTGACGACACTGTAATATATGCATTCTCTATGTGCACATGATTTTCCAATACCACCCCCTGCTCGCAAAAAAAGGATCTGAAAAGCCTAGAAATGAAATTTATACATATTCGATAACCCCATACATTGTTTAACATAATATAAGGAGATTACGACCACATCTTAATAATTAGAAATATTGTTAAAACCAAAATTGAACCACTATCTCTTTACCCTATTGTAAACGATACACGTTAGCTCCAAATTTGCATGATTTATATTTTTAGGGGTTGCATTTCTTTCTTTTTTTTTTTTGCGAGCAGGGTGTAGGAATTCATTCAGAATACTAACTAGATAACATTACCTGAGAACAAAGAATTACTCCCCACCGTAATCGTAATTGTCCATCAATGCATTCGAGCCGCAACGGCCGCAAATGCATTTTTACACCCACGAAAGACATTCCTAACGCTGCTAAAAGAATTTGTCAAAAGTAATTCGCGCATACCTGGAAGAAAAACGGTGAAAGTGATTTGTTTTTTGTTGTTTTTTTTTTTTCGTATATGCACGATCAATACCTACGAGGGGAAGAACAATTTGCACCGAACGTAATTGCAGCCGACTACTGATACAATCGGGTTTACAAGATTAGTGTGGTATGGAAATGTGCACGACACACACCTAGCAACCAATGCCTCCTTTCTGTACACTTTGCAACATTAACGAAGCGCCGCACAGGGGTCAATATATATTCTCTTGCCAAAAAGCAGTTTTTGCGCATCATTCACGATACGTGTTTTCTTTTTTACTCCTCAATTTTGTACGTAACCCTATTTAAGTTGTGAAGAAAGTCAAGTCAGTTCTTACATAATACCTCTTTACGCAAACGCTATTTACAGCTGGATGGGCTTTCGCCCTTTTGCAAGAGAAAATAATGAAATATATCTTAGTGCCCTATCTAATGAAAATATGTTCCTAGAAATAAAGTGATAAGGCCAAAATTGACGACATTTAACTTTTGCAAATTCTGTCTATAACGTACCACCAAACTCTCGGCAATTACATCAATCGATCATTACGTTATTATCAGAGCTTGAAAACGTTCTTCATTATGCCATATTCTTTTAAATTCAAGGTTGGGCGTATATTTCGTATTGCAATAATATAAAATGCTTCACGGAACGTGAAGTACATTTTTGGCAAAAGGATATATTTAACTTGGCCCCACAGGGCGTGTCGGAATACGGCTTCTTATTAATTTATCAACGAAGGGTAGAAATCATATGCGAGGAAGGAAATGCCAGGATCGTTGGAATTATGAACAGATCTCTCATTAGGGGCCCCAGGATTCTGGTCCAAGGAGTGCCGGAAAGGAGTGAGCATTAACGGAGCCTCCTGTACACACCGGCGAGCAGGACATAAGGCAGGATCTATCCGGTTGTATCCGGCTCGAACTACACGTGCACCCGCGGCGAGTGAACTCGGTACTTTCGAGCGAGTACCTACGATTATCCTAACTCACCAGCCTGGCCGGACAATGGCTAAAAAATCGGAGGATTTATGAGCACGAACATGGTGAGAGAAGAAAGCTCTAAGAAAGGCGTGTACTCCGTAAAGAATCGGGATACATAAAGTTACGTTTAAACGGACATACCGGCGAATTGTCTGAGCAGTGACAGCAAAAAGAAACCAGAAAAATGGAGCTGCAGTAGGGAAACTCGAGGGCGTTTTTTTTTCTTTTTTTTGTCGTACTTCTAAGAGCGATGGAGCGAGCTTTGCGAATGCCCATTTTTGCAAGATATTACGAGAACACGGGTGTGAAGTTCGGAGGCGTGCCGACTACCCTTTCTGTGTACGGGCAACCCCGAATGTCGTTAGGTATGAATGATAGGTCTACTCACTTGCTCGATTTGCGACTGCTATGGAGCAGGCCCTGGAAAGTTCCCGTGGACGTCATTTTTGGGGTGTTCTCGGAAACTTTAGCAAATGCTTCTCGGCCCTTCGAACGAATTCTCGTTACTGAGGCGGCTACCGAACACGACTCTTCTGTTGCGAGCGAAATCAAATACTGATGCATCACGGGATTGGTCGCTTCCCCTCGCGGCCTGTGACGTCACGCGGTTAGTAAATGTAGCGCTTGAAATGTTTCCTCTCCAATATTCACTCTATTATTTGTAGATATTTTGTAATGTCTGGCTGTTATAAAATGACTGGTTATTTATGGAAATGATTCGAGTTAATATTGATGCGCAAGAAAATTTGGATAAAGAGTCTTTGTTCGTCAGAAGACCAAACGCGTTGCTCCTTTTGGGATCCGTGATAGCGCGAAATTCAATCGCTGTTTCACGGATAAAACTCGTGTTGATTTAAGAGTTTCTGAAAAAATTACTGTCGAGTTTAAAATAGATCATGTTTTCATGCCATTATTGACATTCTGCTATAGATGAGGAATTGTTATAAAGCAACGGGCTATGTTCTGCTGCACAAAAGGCAGAACTTTCGATGTTCATTCGTGAATCCACTACACAGCTGATCGTACTTAGTTCTCCGCGGCCATCACAGATGGCTACTCGAGATTTCCCGAGGTCGTGGCTTCGGACCCGCGCTTTCCTCATTATTGTTCTCAGGTCACAGGTGAATCGAAGAAAATAGTATGAAAAGTCAAAAAACTTCGTTGTGTGGTTTAGTAAAGCTTGCATCACATCTTGCGTCGCTCCCGGCACCATTTGATTTCGGAAAAGAACGAAGATGTTGAATCAAGCAGTTGTCGAGGCGTTGTATTCTGCAACATACATCGAAAATTACTTGGATTGTGTTGAGAATCTTCCGAATGATCTCCAAAGGCACGTCTCGCGGCTACGCGAATTGGATGCTACCTGTCAAAGTAAATATTTATTATTGTTTTATGACAAATCCGTCTTCTAAAAGGATTCACTGAATCCTGTTTCCGTTAATATATTTCTCGCGAGTCGACACATTAATGGAAAGAGACGCATGATAACGTTTAGCACGATCAGCCATTTGTTGAAGATATTAATGATGCTTTTAATTAGTCTGAAATGAAATAGTTTTTATTCCACTATACTTTTTGAATGAAAATACATCAGTAACGAATGTCTTCATCGAAATACGATGCAAACATTTTACTCATTATTTCGGATATCTTTTCTAGCATATTTGCGGGAGGTAGATCAACATCAAGAAACTTTAAAAAATGACTCCGATGTGGCTGTACGACAACGAGCTTTACTCAGGATACAGCAAGCTTTAATCGCGGCTCAAGAAATTGGTGATGAGAAATTACAAATTGTACAACAGGTTCAGGATCTCATAGAAAACAAGTCACGACAGTTAGACTTGGATTATCGTAACTTAGGTACGATAAAATACTTTTGTTCTATCTTTAATTTCTGGATATCCTTGTACAGGATTTTGAGACGAATTGTTAATTTAAATTTTATAGTATAATTCCTTTACAAAGTTTTTCTTTCTTTGAATCTCTACATCGGAAAGAAACTATAAACTTGAATTAAATTTTCAGATTTTGGAAAGGTGCAGGAATGCACAGAGTCTACGAGAGAATCTAATTCAAATGTCAGTTCTAATACAACCGGTAACTCGAATACAGCAGAACGTCAACCAAAACGAGCACGTCGGACACGAACCGAGACTTTGGTAGAGTCAGCACATGCGATGGATATGATCGTGATGACGGAAACACGATCAGCAGCATTATCGAATTCCAACAATGGTAATCAGAAGAAAAATACTGCTGCAAATACAGGGAAAAAGAAGAAAAGGAAATCTCGTCAAGGGACTCAACAAAATCAACATCGCGAAGATACTCCACCACCTCCAGAAGATGATTTGGCAATAGATCCTGATGAACCAACTTACTGTCTCTGTGATCAAATATCATATGGGGAGATGATTTTATGCGATAATGACTTGTGTCCAATTGAATGGTTCCATTTTTCATGTGTATCATTAAGTACTAAGCCTAAAGGAAAGTGGTTTTGCCCAAAGTGTCGTGGGGACAGGCCAAACGTTATGAAACCAAAGGCTCAGTTTCTCAAAGAACTTGAAAGATATAATAAAGAGAAGGAAGAAAAGTCATAGCACGAAGCTTTTGGCTAAAGAGCTTAAATAGTTTTCAAAAATTACAATTAGATTGTATCTAAACATTTAATCAAATGAAACAAATCTAATTTGCTAGGAAGAAATTGACATGAAAAATATGTATCTATAATTAAGTTTGATGGGACACAAAACTAGTAGAGCATCGACAGAAATGCCTCAATCAATTTCCAAGCACCGAATGCTGCTTCGCGACCCAAAACAGATATCTGGTATTTATTCTAAGATCTGCAGTATTACAAATACTATAAATATAGATTATTGAACAGTTGATCCCTACTGTTACAAATCTTAATGTGATTGTACAAAGCGATGCATTTGGGTATATCATAGGCACAAGCTCGATATTAAGCTACAAGTTTAGTGTCTTTTTATATGAAAAAGCCTGACATTGCGATTTGCGTGACTGTAAAATAACATTGTAATCAATTTCATATGTCTATACTAGAACTAGTTAAGAACTTATACACACGTGTCCATATTAACCCTGATTTGTAAATATTAAACGTATTGTAGTCGTCACTACTTAACAATTTTGGTAGTAAAACACCGCATAAATTAAATCTTACCATGCCTCGACTTCATTTACTTATGTAAATCTAGTTGCCTTCAAATGAAGTTCTTTTCTTTTTTTATTAACATTAATCATGCTTGTACCAAATGCCAATATTGCATATAAGGTGTGTTTTATTAACATTTCACATGCGCTTTTGGCTATTGAACACTTTAAAAAAGACATATAACACAGAAAAACTAAGGAATGCAAACAATTTATAAATGCTTACGATCTTCCTTGTTTTATAATCAAAAATTGGATATTTCCCATTCATTGCAAGTAAAGAAGAAATCTACGATACTAATTTATGTCTAAGTGTACCACTGACATGCTATGTTATTACGCACTAACAATCTAGCTAGTTCAAACTGACATACCATGTCTCGCTTTTATTCACACATTATAGTGTGACAGAAAATGAAGTGTAAATGGGATTACATCCTATAAAATATAGAATAAACATATACCAACATTGCCTTGACAAAATCGGGTGAGCAACGAACATCGTCAAAAGAAACGAGTAGCTCTTTCTAGTATATTGTTTATCCTGTACTGCATATTTCTACAATTATTGCATTGAATTACAATGGCTTACCACATTTAAAATTGCATGTAAATTTCATATTATTTAGAACTGCAAATTTGTTCAATAGTTGTAATGCGATAAGATCTAATAAAATTCATGATAAGCTCTACATCACTTAATTTTGTCAAAGGCCATGACTTATTAATGCGCATCAACATCAAAATAGATATTTTGTATATTGTTTATTGTGTCACGTAGAGATTCGCAATATGTACAATGAAGAAAACAAAGTAGAAGAATATCTGATAAAAAGGACGTGTACAAATGGACAAAACAATTCTTTTATCCATTTGTATCATTGATTTATTATTAACCTATCATTAGAAAGTAAAGACAATGACGTAGTCATCGTGTGCAATAGCTTCAATCCAATTCGAATTCGCACCTTTATATTACATTTGTATACCACCTGTACCTTATGGATTTCGATTTTTGCTAATCCACTCGTTACAAAGATATATCAAACGTAGTAGTTTCTAAACATTGTATATACATCCGACTCTTATAAAATAATTAAAATATTTGGCGGTCTTAACAGTAATGAGTAAATGGAATAATTATGATATTGGTACAAAGTGCCTTGCTTGTATAATTCATACTTATTTATATAAAGTATTGTACGTGAAAATGCAAAATCAAAATGATCAGTAACTAACCTGATGATCATTAAAGTATCTTTATTTTTATCTTAATGGGCGAACTTTTCTTCTGTTCACCTTCATACATTCTTTTGCACTTACTTTCGTACATATTCCAGACTTATATATAGGCATTTCATAGATGTCTAACAGCAAGAAACATTTTTTCCGAACAGGTTTTTTGAAAGAACAAAGTAAAAATATTACGTTGCTGTTATAAAATTCTATGAATAACATCAATGTCTACTTTTCAAGATTTTGGATGCATCGTTCATTATTTTAATTGGAATATTGAAGAAGAGAAAAAAGGAACTTTACTCCTATCTTGTGTGTACAGGGCCAGACAGGATTTCTGTCACTGATTTTTAAAGTGCATAAACACTCAGGGTAATGCAAGTAATATAATTGCGTAGGAATTTTGTACGAGACATCTAATAATACGGGCATTTCATTCCACAAGTTTACACATAAATTGATATATGTACAGGTTTACAAGATGTGGCAGAAATCCTATCCTTACCTACGTTTTTCTATATCATTTTTTTTTAACAGGAATATGATTATACTTATAAGTAACAATCACATAAGTTCACGGTGCGATTCCATAATTATTTCAAAACTCTAGCTCTGAAAGTACCTGAAATTAAGACAATATTAGATGTAAATGCGATCGATCTTTATACACTTCTAGAAGAAAATGAATTCACAAAAGATCTCATAACGTGACTCTGTAGTATTTACAGTATTATTTAAAATATTTGATCATAATTATAATATCCAAGAGGCAAATGTTTTTACAATATTTGTCTAACCTTTTCGGAAGTAATCGACTCTCATAAACATTAATAAGAATAAAAGATAACTATTTTTAATACATAGTAAATATTCCCAATGTTTGTAGAATAATTGAAGTACATAGAAAAACTTTTTTACTGATTGGAAATAGTGATGTACCATCTAGCTACCGATGAGCATTACCAAATGGTACTACAGTGGTAGGAAGCTTTACGAGGATGCCTTATTTAATTATCATAAATATTTGTACAAACTTGCGAGGAAGAATTGTGATTTTCAAATAAAATTAATTAAATTAATATATTGATAAAATTTGAGTGTGAAAAGTTACCTAATGTCAGCGTGGATCCTCCGTATGACTCTCTTGAAAGTTTAGCCAAGACTGTTCGACAACGGTAGCCACTCGTTTCTCGTATTCCCGTTTATTCTCTTGGTACAATTGTGCTGCCAAAGAATTTGCCGGAGAATTCGGGTTCGGCTCGTCCAAAAGAGACTGCAACACATTTTGTAGGATATCCAGTTTAAGGCAACAGATATAGAATGTATGGCGGATCAGGCTGACAGTCAAGGCGTTAAGCTTTAAACTGCGCTACTTGTCAAGAGGAGGCAGGGTAATAGAAAGTACGACGTGAAATTATGCATTTTATTATATGTCTGTATATATAGGTGAATTTAGGTACTATACGAAGTACTAAAGGTAAATTGAAGTACGGTTCTGCGCCTGCCGTAAAGAGCACCGCCTCTAGCGCAGATAAACAATGAAAGCTACGTTAGTGTTCGTATACCCTAATATTAAATATTACTAATTTCGTGATTTGAAATATATCGAATAAATAAATACACAATTTTATAGTAATTGTATTATACAACATCGTAAAAAATTCGATCTAATGCTGCACATTGGTTGGTAGTCGGATAGAGGTGTTTTAGGGAGTGACCATGCTAAAGCGTTAGCATTAGCGTTAGCTCCGTGGTAAGGCTGCACGCTCTCCTTCGTCTCCGATGGTTGCGACTGCGGCCGATCGTTGATCTGCGATTGTGCCAAGTGCATCCGTCACTAATCCACAAAACTCTGCTCCACACAAGCCTTCACTCGCTTCTCGTATTCTCGTCGATTCTCTTTGTACAGTTGTGCTGCCATTGAGTTGGCAGGTGAATTCGGGTTCGGGTCACTTAACAGCGACTGCAACCATATAAGTCATCGTCGAATTATGTGCAAAATCAAATTTTCTTTCAAGCTACAGCTTGTCTCATAGTTTCCTCTTAATGGAATAGTAACAACACAGATAATTCATTGACATCCTTAACGAATAGATCGAATCAACCTCGAGCAGAAAACAAACATTCCGCGAATTAACTAGACTTAGCTGAATTGCAACCGCTGTTAAGGCAAGAGGTAATCGTAAGAGATTTTCTTGGAAAACCAAGTGAAATGGTTAGCAGCGGATTAAATACGTTCAGGGGGTTTTCTTCGTATTGGTTAATTGACTAACGTATATGCAGATGCTGAATCTTTTTATTCATGATTTTTGTTAGTATCTGATAACAGACATGCTAAAAGATAAAATAATAGCGAACATTTTTAATATGTTTTATATATTTCAATTCCAATAAGCAAGCCTTATTCTATTTAGTAAAATGAAATAATAAATGAATAAAACTGCTTATGTTTGCCTCTCTTCCTGTAAGTTTCCTAAATAAATGAACAGGTGCAATTTAATGGAAAATTTGAGTAACGGATAACCGACTTACGGATTACGCTTATAGAGCAATGATTTTGGATAGAATGAAATAGAAACATGCAACTTTGACAAGGTGTTAATTTTCATTTTAAGAACCAGTCCTATTATCTTCTGTATGCTAAATACGTATTTAACTTCAAGTATTAGTTTAAATTCGTATTCGTTATCTCACATGCTTGAGATAATAAGAAAAACTTTTGACAAGTGCTTCCAAAATTGTGTGAATGAAACGACAAAGGATAAAAAGTAAAGCAAATAAATTCACCGAGACCTTAAAACACTTATCAATTCAATGTTGTCAATGTTCGATAAGACACGTTTTGTTTATTCCACTCGACTTATACTTAGGAAAAGATATAAAAGGAAACCATAATTAAAGCAGAAAAAGTGATTCGCTTGCACCAGATTCATTGCATTCTAATTGATAAATGTAATCGGTAACTATTACCACACTCACCTGTATAGATGTCAAAATTGCAGAAACATCATACGTTGGACTCCAGCGGTTCTGCAGGATGTCTAAGCAGATTCCTCCGTCGGCATATACATTAGGATGGAACATCTTACTGACAAATCTCACTGTGGGTGGTTTGTTCGGGTATTCTTCCGTAAACTCTATTGTAAGTTTGAACGTACCATCCTCAAAAGGTGTATCGTGTGGCCTGTGGCATAAAATAGCACCTTTACGTTGGTATGTCTAACCGAAACTTAATTCCTACTAACGGCTTCGACCCTTACCCAAATATGACGGCATTCCATATCATGATATTATTATCTGTCGGAGCACCAGACACTCCGGTAGGAGGGTCTTCCTGTAACCTATGGATATAATGACGGTTACGAACCTTTCCAAGCACGATACAAATCTTAACTTTTCAGACACACTCGATGCACTGAAGAAAGACCTTCAACTAGTAACCGCGACAATGCCTTCTCCCCAGGAACGTTGTTCGAGTTTGGCTCTAGCGAATACACGTGTCGACAGGAAAAACGTATCGGCAAGAGCAAAAAGAAGACACCGTGGACTATCGCGAGATTCTATTAATAACCGCGAAACACGAGTCACGATGACGTTCGTTATGTCGATGCAATCATCGCGGACATTTGCGAGGATCTCGTGTTCGCTCAGTAAATTAGCGAGACCCCCGTCGAACGGTCGCGGAACTAGGGACGAAACAACGGCCCAGTCGAGAGTCTGGCATGCCGCGAGCGTACCTCTTGAAGTCCCTCATGAGTCTCCTTCTCGCAGGGGTAGACATCCCTCGGATCCTGCTTGTTGTTCCGGACTCGTTGGTCTCTAGTGGAACCAGGTTCCCTTAGCTCGGAGCGAAGGAGAGCTCTGCGAGGGACGCGGTCCCACGGGGTCCTGGACGCGGGCGCTCTCGTGGCCGCTCCCTCCGACGGTCTGGCGCGGTCTGGCGGTCGGACCTCTCGAGGGCGGTCCGGGGTTGGTCCGAGATCCGGAGGAGAGTGCGTGCCCGACGCGCGTATACGTCTTCGCCTTTTGTCAGGCCGAAGGCCGCCCCGTCCCGCGAGATATACCGTTACACGCTGTCGAGAACGATTGCTGTTCGTGGAAAAAAAGGAACGAAAAAAGACTGGCTCCTATGATCTGTCGACTGTCCGACAGAAATTGCCCTCGAGACTCGTTGAATTTTCACCCTCGTACTGAAACGGGGCGGAGGGAGGGGGGACACTCTCGCCAGCGAAAACGTATGCGACGACCACTTGGAGAAATTCGTTCGCACTGCGCTGCGGCGCTGCTGCGGCGCTGCCGAAACCAGTCGAAACGAAGGACAGCTGAACGGATGCTCGCGCTAAATCCTTTTTGACGTCATCCGTTTAAATCGGATTTTTCAGCCAATAGCCGTTGCGATGCACAACCTCAAATCTGTTTTCATTTCGACCCTAGTTTGTGGCGGTTTTGGAGAATTTCATGCTACATAATAGGTTCGTTCGGTTTATCGTATACACCGAGATGGGGATTGATGCGTCACTCGAGATTTTTCACACATATTACGTAATTTACCGTACAGAATGTAAAAAATCAGTAAATTATACGACCAATGGTTACCGCATATGTATGTATGCCATGCGGTACTCATAGTGTATAAACGTCTTTTAATACGTGAATGAACACGCGAATATTTTCCCCATTTGGCACGAAAAGGCTATTTGTGAATTTAATGTAATTGTAGTAATTAATTTAATTTTACAGAGGGCTTCGACGCGCAGTAACTTCCTGTAATTTGAAATAATGTGGAACCTACCTTAATATTCAGGACTAACATATCTCCAGCTTGTAATAAAGGTAAAAAATAAGAAAAAGAATAATAACACGACATATATGATAGGTCGATATTTCATTAACGCTACGACGAGCGACGGAACAACAAAGTGCGAATATGAGTTTAATTAGTTTCCAGCAGATTGAAACCAAGTGTGATCCCGCTGTAAACCAATTAAACTCCGATTAACTCGAATTGTGGAACCGGGCCTTAAAGTCGCTAGGGAGCGCGTTAAGCAGCTGGTCACGATTTCCTTATACGATAGCCTCCATCTTCTTTTCTACTCTCTTTATGCCCTTGCTTTCGGTAGTTTCATGTGGACATTCCGAATTTTCTCGAATCGGTGCGAACCATGGACGTAGTTACGTCCATGCTGCGAACTGGCTTGCACTTTATTTCGCCGGCAGAGGAGCGAAATCGAGTAGGCGAGACGGAGAGATAAAAAGTAAGAGAAAGAGCAGCGTGGGTGGGAGCGAGACGGTGCACGTACTCCGCACGAACCTGTACGGGCCTATCACAGCTCGCCGAGCGAAACCCGTGATACCTTGCGCGCTTGAGGCTCGCATATCAAGGTTTCTCGTTTGCTGGCCCCGTAGTTCACGGTCTGGGAGAAGTGCGGTGGCGCCTACCGAATTTTCTTATGATATTTCACGCATAGCCATCGGCTTGTAAGAATCCGCTAACGTAAGTACCCTCGATAACGTATAGAAAGTCCGAATCGGAGATGGGAGCGTGGCGATGGTTACGCCACTGTAACGTATCTCGGGCCGAGATGTTTCCAGGCCAATGTCACTCGCCCTGTGCGCCCGAAATTCACAAATCTTGTCTGGGCACCGTTCGCTCGACCGAGGCGCGTCCGTACATCGCTTATGCTGGAACGAATTTATTCGCCTCTTATTCGACCCCACCTGCAAGATCCACCGAATCCTTTAACGATACCTAACCCTTGTTTCTTGCTGCAACCTAATACTCGTCAACGCTCGTTAATGTTCGTCAATGGTTCTCATCGTGGCTAAACCTATGTCGCCCTTACCCAGCTGTATATTTTGTATTTGGACATTAGCATACATTTTTACGCATTTTGTGCTTCTATTAAAGAGCGACGCATATAGCTTTTAGAGTTTTTAAGATGGTACATCGGCTGTAGCTAGTTTAAAAAATGTGATGGAATTAGAATAAGTCTCATCTAGGGAATGTTACCGTTACAGATGTCGACCGGACCGACACACAAGTACCGCTATAAAAATGTAGGATTGGACTCTCAGGAACTACGTCGTCGCAGAGAAGAAGAAGGTGTGCAATTACGGAAACAGAAGCGTGAACAGCAGTTGTCTAAACGACGTAATGTTCCTGCTATTGTTACCGATGAAGAGAATGTATCTACGACAGATGAATGTACAGTTCCAGCAACCCATACGGTAACATTTATTAATATGGGTATTCATAAATTATAATTTATTAGTATCCAGGACATATATCCTAATTGAGTATTTTTTACTTTTTCTCTTTAGCAACAACCAGTAATAACCCCGGAGATGGTACAGACTCTGTATAGTACCAATGTAGATGAACAATTAATTGCAACGCAAAAGTTCAGAAAGCTATTGTCAAGAGAACCAAATCCACCTATAGATGAAGTTATACAAACTGGAATAATTCCCAGATTTGTAGAATTTCTGGAAAATGATAAGAACTCCACCCTACAGGTTGGTGTTAATATTTCATAGAATGGATTTGAATAAAGATGAAATAATTTTCTATGTATGTCCAGTTTGAGGCAGCATGGGCACTGACGAATATTGCCAGTGGTACGTCCCAACAGACCCGAAAGGTGATAGAAGCAGGAGCAGTGCCAACTTTTATAAAACTCTTATGTTCCGAATATGAGGATGTACAGGAACAAGCTGTATGGGCTTTAGGCAATATTGCTGGTGACAGTCCAGAATGTAGGGATCATGTTTTAGTCAATGGTATTTTAACTCCTCTGTTACAGTGAGTATTTTACCTAACTGCATAACATAACGTTACTTTAATTAGTGTTACATACCAAACCATACTAGTTTAAGAAGATCAAAAAACTCTTTTTTTTTAAATGTCACATTGGACTTAATCAATTTAAATGGTATTGCATAAAGGCTTTTCAGTGATATAGTCATTAGGAAAAAATGAGTTTTTATTACGCTTACTTTCACAGGCTTCTTTCAAAAACCACTCGTCTTTCAATGACACGTAATGCTGTGTGGGCATTATCGAATTTATGCCGTGGGAAGAATCCTGCCCCTGCATTTTCCAAAGTAGCACCTTGTTTGCCAGTTCTTGCTCACCTTCTCAACCATCTAGATTTTGACGTACTCGCCGATGCTTGCTGGGCGCTTTCTTATCTCAGTGATGGTCCAAATGACAAGATTCAGGCAGTCATTGACGCAGGAGTTTGCCGACGCCTAGTGGAGCTTCTAATGTAAGTATATTCTTCCTTTTTGTCAAACATTTCAGCGAAAAGTGATATTTTGTAAGTTTATGTATTTTTAAACAGGCACGATGAGTACAATGTAGTGAGTGCAGCACTAAGAGCAGTAGGCAATATCGTTACTGGCGACGATTTGCAAACTCAAGTTGTGCTGAATTGTTCAGCATTGCAATGTCTGTTACACCTACTAGGATCTGCTCGAGAAAGCATTCGCAAGGAAGCTTGTTGGACAGTGTCGAACATCACGGCTGGCAACCCCCATCAAATTCAGGTAGATAATTTCAGATTATTCGTATGATACAGAAATTCAGTTGTGTCTACTCGTTTTCCTAATCTATTTGTTTTACAGGCAGTGATCGATGCTAACATATTCCCTACGTTGATTGATATTCTCGGCAAGGCGGAGTTTAAGACCCGTAAAGAGGCAGCATGGGCAATTACGAACGCGACAAGTGGTGGTGTACCGGATCAGATTCGGTACTTGGCTCTTCAGGGCTGCATTTCACCCTTGTGCGATCTCTTGACGGTCATGGACACGAAGATCGTTCAAGTTGCATTGAACGGTCTTGAGAATATACTGCGCCTTGGCGAGCAAGATGCCATTTTGCATAATGGAATTAACTCGTACGCAGTTTCTATCGAAGAATGCTATGGTAAGAGACGACATATGCAGTCATGCGAGCAAAGTAATACACTTCTGAGTCTTCTTATTCCGATTACTTCGGAAGTACAATGATCGGATCCGTTGTTAACGTCTTTCTCATTACATTACTCATGTTTCAGGCCTAGATAAGATAGAATTTCTGCAATCTCACCAAAATATGGAAATCTATCAAAAGGCTTACGACATAATCGAGCGTTACTTCGGCTCCGAAGAAGACGATGCCAAAATCGTTCCACCGGTCGACTCGCACGAACAGCAATTCGAATTCGCAGCGGCTGACTCCTCTCAGTTGCCGGTTCAAGGCTTCCAGTTCTAATAGAGACGCTCCTCGATACACATGAGCTGTGTCAAGACGTACCCTCGTTTCATTTAACTGAGTTTGCAGCTACCTGTTTTAGAGAGCCAACATGATAGCTCTGAAATCGATGAAGAAACGTGCAAGCTATGTGTTTCCTAAATTGAGCACGTTTGCGAACCCTACTTCGGGACCCGTCCCTCCTTTAAAGAAAAAAAAGCTTCGACGACTACCCAAAGCATGCTTTTTTGCGCCCAACGAATCAAGCAGTGATCAGCACTCATCCGTAGTGGTTTTAATATCGTTTTTATTTTTCACTGTTTTAGAGCAGGCGCTACGATATTATTATTATATAGGTTACAATGATAAAGCTCTAATTTTAAACACGTGTCAAATTTAATAACGCTTATCTCGACGCTTCGACATTATCACTTGGTTACGGTCTCCAACGAGGTGTAATATACCTGCACGTATATAGCAAGAGGTATTTAGTTTATCGGAAGCAACAGGCGAGGAAAACCACCCCCTAGTGCTTAGGTAGAAGCTGTTAAGTGCGGAAAAATGAATTATCCAGCATCCGGAGGCGGAGACACGTCTCGATCGACGCTCGACTGACTTGGAATTACAGGAACTTGCACGCAACTTGCGAGGACACCAAACGACTGAAGTACGCGACTACGTAGTCAACACGGACAACTTTACGCTACGCGGTACTCCATACAACACTAGATAGGAACACGACCAATTAAAAACTTTTTTACTGTAAATACGTATCTCGTAATTTAAAGACCGTTCTATACAGAGTGCCCTTAACGGGCGAACAGCAGTTTGATTAGGCTGCGAGCAATATCGGATTACACGGTTTTTTTTTTTCTTTGGCCAATCGAATTTTCGGATGTAATCGATGAGTCGCAGAGTCACCTCTAAATTGGCATTGCTTGACATTTCAACCAACGTTCCTTCGTGAACGCCTTCGAAATTGTTCGAATTTTGTTAATACTAGCGATGGAAATTACATCACGCTTCTAAGTACCTCATGATTGTAAATCAGTTAGAGAATCATCCCGAGGCACTGTCAAGACATAAGTTACTTTACAGCTGGATGGAATTTAATTCCACTGAGTTCCACGATGGCATATAATGTACAGCGGTCGGAATTTCGGACATTCTGTATAAAAGGTCTGTGACTGTATAAAATGTATTTATTATTTAGGTTCGACGATACCATACTATATTATATGAGCTCTATATATACGATCTATCTTTAGTTACCGACTTCTACTATCGAGACGGAGAAGGACTATGTTATCAAATCACTCGATAGCTGTTGTTTTGCTAAAATTACCTCTTTGACATATTAACACAGCTAAGAAGCGCCCGTTGCCAATTTATAAGCCTCTTGCGAAAAACTGGCTCGAAACTTAGCTTAGGTACTGTACGAGTTTGTACTTTTTTAGGGTCCACGAAATTATGCCTATTCCATGTTATGGTTTGTAAATTTTTTCTGCATGCGTTTGATGATGTAATCCGATGATATGTTTCTGGATTTTCGATACGTAAACCAGAAGATTCGGTTTTTCTTGGGGCGAAATATAAAAGATGCTCAGTTTATTTTAAGCAGCCAACATCTGGGTAGGTTTTATAGCGTGTAGGTATTGTTATTATAAATTGGCAATGCGGTATGCATATGTGATGCGCGACACGATCTTGTAACGATACGAGGACTGCCGACTGCTACGCCACAACGCCGATATAATGATCGATTGAACATACACACGGAACGTTGATCTTAAATTCGTTCGTTGTATTTCGTATTGACTACCAGTAACGTTGTAGGCCATGACAGGGAACGCAAACATCGGCAACCTTTCGATCGTTTCAATGTTAATCGAACACTCACTCGTAACCTGTGGAGAGAAATTCATGGAATCCACCATGCGATTTGATTTTCACACTCATGGCTTCCGCGTTATCTGAACAATGTAAATGATACGGAGATATTCTTTTGTGTATGATCAATTTTGGCATAAAGAAAATAAAGTTTAGTAATATCTGCGAGTTATGGTTGTACGTAATATCCTTGATAAATGGAAAGAAGAGTACTATTTCCACGCGACCAATTTTTAATATACATTTTATCTTTTTCTATTTTCAATACGATTTACGTACTAGGAGTTTTCAAGCCATTTATTCGTTCTTTCTTTCAGTAAAACCTTTACTTTTTTCGAGTTTATCGTGTCAATATTTATTTTATTTCTGGAGGGAGTATTCCGACATTATGGGGCAATAAATGTACATAAACGATTTAGATGTACTTCAGGAATACAATATTTCTTTATTATATTTTAGATGATTTTATACATAACAATGCAGTTCTTTCTTTCTTCATAGATTATGCATTACAAAATTTTTTATGCAAAAGAATATTATATTGATATTATGAATCCTATCTACACATAAAAGTAAATCATTCATTCATGTATGATAAATTGTAATATATTTTACATGACCTGCATGAGGATACAAGTCTAGTCCTTTGAACTTCGCTTTAGCAAATCTATAATTTATATCTCATTGTAAAATATAACTTCATTATATCAAAAACAGTTGCATCAGGTTATTAATATGCTCATGACTAATAAGTGAAACAAAGTACTTCAATAGTTTATGGTAATTCTTTAAGACTCAGTAATTCAAAGTATTTGCTAAAATTCTATTAACTGTAATTGGTCATTTTTATTAATAGTTTTTAAATCTCTAAAGGTCATGAACATTAATGACATAAAGCAATGTTTTATGATATCGAATGTTTTATATACGTATATTAATTGAGTTGCACTTACAACTTCTTTTTTAAATGATTCAACAGTGGAAATGAATGCAACAGTCTCATAATAATTCGTTCATTACCGTGTGCACAACTGGCTGAACATTAAGGTTTGCATATTATTCTGCAATAATATTTATTACTTACAACGGGGTAGCTGAAAATGAAGCAATTCTACTGTTACGTTCAGGTACATAAAAAGTAATTCTAGCACAATTAATTTAATTTATGTGCATACCTCTAATTCTTCTCGCACATAAAAAACGGTACCATCTGTTAACCTCGTGATAAGAGGCCACAATGTGTCTTCATCAATTTTGGGGCTAAATACTTCGTGAAGTTGTTCCTCGGCAACTTCTATGGCCCTTTTTGACACATCATACTGATTTAATATCATTATTATAAAGAAAACCGTTCCTTTTTCTACAGCATTTTCTGTATCACAAAGAGAATGAAAAGCTTTTATCGTATCTGGATTTATCGTTAATATGTTCTCCACAATCTGAAAATCATTGTAATCAGCTTTTAACATAACATTAGCATAAATAATAAAATGATTTAATTGCATTCATTATACAATCTAGCATGCTAATCATAAAGTACAAGTTACATAAAACTCACTCATAACTTACAATGGTACGTGCGTTTTTCATTTTAGATCTTAAAGTATATATCACACCTCCGTGATCTTTTTCTAAATTGGTAGATGTCAGTTTTAACGAGCCACTGTTGAGAACTTGACTGATAACATTACTTACAGAGGCAACTAAACAATGTAGCGTAGAAGTTTCATTAGAGAGAAGAACAAATATAGATGGTTTCTTTGGATTTTGGAGTATTTCTATAGTACCAACAATGAAATCATCCCATATGCTGTTATCTTGGGCAGGAAAATCACTTTTAAGCAAACCCACATCATATTTCAATTGTGAGATTCTTTCTCGAATTGAAATTTCTGAACTGCTATGAATTCCGTGTTCATTACTAAGAGTTTGTGATGGAATAAATAAATATGCAAGAATACACAAAAAACCTATAAACAGAATTGTCATACAATATATTTTTATATTATACTTTTGACTAATTTGACATTTTTCTTCTTCATAAGTATAATTTCGCTTTGCAGAAGCATTTGTTTTTTTTTGGGGATATGTATGGCTATCCTGAATTTGATAACGTTCTTTACGTCTATGTCTTACAGTATCCTTAATAACATGTGACGAAGAAATAGATTTCCTACTCTTATTACTGCCATTACTGCTGTTTAACGATGATGATATATCTGAATAATTATAATCATTTGTCTGGCTTAGATTGCTATATGCTGCTTCATCCTCAGAAATGTCATTGCTAAATGATGAGTCGTTATAGGCTTTCGAGTCTTTTACTCCCGACTCGTCTTCAAGTTCGGGTGATATTTTCATATTATCAGTAGTATGTATTGTCCTCCTAGGTGTTGGCTCATGTGGTATATAAGAATTTTTTCGATCCGCCATTGACATATTCGACTTATGTGATATTTCTACAATTATCAACTGAAAAAGATTATATCAATTAAAAATTATGTTCTGAACATATACATTTATCCAAAATTGATGTTCTCTCTCTGACTTCAATTCGTAAAAAAGCGATATATTTATAAACTACCTATGCATATTGTTATTTTCAAGTTTCAATTTATATCAAGACTTACCAAAACTTATTTCAGTTTCATTAAATGTAATTTAATCTGAATTATTTATTCGGTGTTCTTGAATGCTGAAATACTTCTCACATCTACAGAATTCATATTAAATTAACATCTTCTCGTCATATCTCCTGCAAATAGCATATATTAAATAGTACCAACAGTATTTACAAATTTGACAGAACTGGAAACAGTGCTGCCAGAAACTCGCACGACTTTCCTCTCTAAAAATCCAGTCATATATACCAGAGCTGTATATATCTAGACCTCGCATTGGACCTCCCACTTCCAGATTTCCGTAAGTAGAATGGCTTTAACTGTGTGGGACACGTGGTATGTATGAATACGTCCAGAGATGACATATACATTCGTTTACCCCTTCCCATCGAAATAATATGAAAAGGAGGGAATATATGGGTGGTGAGGGACGCGACGAAAGTGCTTTGAAATGAATCGAACTGAGTGGCGGCAAAGTGACACGTATGAACAGTGATATAGGCAAATTTGCACATCTGTAGAACTACAGGTTGTGAAAATAAAACAGCGTTAAATATTAAGTATCCTGTAGGAATTTGGGAAATCGCGTAAAACAAGCATAAGTACAAACATAACCTAAGCTGCTACTATTTTACACGTCGTTTGTTTACAAATACAGCATAAGAACAGTATACTTACTCATGATTGTTGCTATATCGTTGTTGCTACTCATGTTGTACCATTCTTTCTGCGAAGAAGGAACGCAACAAATGTCAAAACGTTGGACGGTTGGAACTGACCCACACAACGGAGTCTACAAAATGGCGATTTCCGTCGCACGTTTTGTTATCCCTCACCACCCATACATTCCGTCCTTTTAATATTATTTCGATGCTCCTTCCATTGCAAGGCGATCTACATAAATATATGGTCTAAAATCTAATTGGATCCAAGTGCCGTCGGCACATGTAGTCCATATGGTATTCGAGTTTACCCTTTCTACTGCTATGCGAGGTCTAGATATTTATGGTCTATGTCGCAATCTGACCGCGTCAAGTGTCACACAGCGTGGCGCGTCAAAGCATGAGGGCGAACAACCAATCAGACCTGCAGCGGAAATGATGTTCCTGGTTGAGCGCAATGCTGAGTGGTTATTCATCCTCGACGTATGACGCACCGTGTTCTGTGTGACATCCAATGGATGTGAACACACGTGTGGTTATACGTGATACCAACTTAAAAAAGTCAAATTGTGTACATCGAAGATGCCACTGTAACCGTTCATTCGTCTGAGGAAACGGCAATCAGTGCTCACAGCATAGTTATTCCCGTAAAGAATCGAAGGATAGCTTCGAGTCGGGAAAATGTGTTTCGGCCCATTCAAAAAAATATGCCATTGGGGACCACTTACTACTCTCGGTATGTTCCATCTTGCTGATGACATTTCTACGTAATGGCGGCGTGCATGTGTGTGTATAGCGAGAAAGGTTGCCGCACCATTGTTTTCACTTTTGCTGATGCTCGTAAATATTAGGAAAAAAAAAATGTACACTAGTATGGCAAAGGATCGCTCGTTGCGTGTCTGTATTACGTAAGAACAACATTTGTTGATGGAATCGTAACAATCGGATGTTTTTGGAAAACTGAATGTCACCATCTTAGAAGCCGCTGTTACTGGCTATCATACAAAATTCTCATTGGTTCTTCCGAAATAACATCGTGGTGCCGCCCTTCTCTTAGGTGATTCGATTGGACCTCACCATATTAATTAATCGTTTGAATTCCTTGGCGCGATTACATAGTTACTATGAAAATTTGAATTATTTGTATAATCACGTTTTACATAAGATTTGGAATTACAAAGTTAAACTTAAGATTCTAACTTCGATTAAAGAGAAAATTTTGTATGGGACGTAGAAATAAAAGGGTGATATTTGGTTTTATTTGTGATTTGTATTATGCTGCGCGGAGGATGGAAAGTGAACTTGTTCTGTAAATATTGTTTGTTACAGGGATCATAAAAATAATCACTTTGATGACGATACACTGCAGCAGGCAATGGTGGCCACCATACGAAAGTGCCCTGGCGGCAGCTAATTTTTTACTTTTCTTTAGTCTTAGTGGGTCGACTCTTTACCATTTCATGAGTGCCATATTTGAGGGACCTGGATTTCTTCCTTTAAAATGGATGCCGGTAGGAATAATAAAATATTATTGCTGTAAGAAATGCATGAATTCATCTTTCATAATTAATCAGTTTAATCTCATATTTCATATTTGCAGTATGTATTTTATGTTGATTTTTTAGGAAAATGCATCAGATGTTCAGTTCCTACAATATTGCACAGTTTGCGAAGGCTACAAAGCACCAAGATCACATCATTGTAGAAAATGTATGTGTCTTTTGATTCATTAAATAAAAAATGGTATTTCATAAAATAAATGTTTGTGACTGTAACAGGTGGACGTTGTGTACTCAAAATGGATCACCACTGCCCATGGATAAACAATTGTGTTGGTCATTACAATCATGGCCATTTTACAGCATTCCTAGCGAGTGCAGTAGGAGGCTGTTGCGTTTCTACAGTCATTCTGGTATCATGGGTGATAACGGTCTTCTCTCCGTATGAATTACTTTTTCCACCACCCTCGGTGTTCACCTTGATTGCAGCTATTTTTACTACTGGGCTGTCAATTGGAGTTGTCCTATCAGTAGGACTGCTACTCTATTTTCAAGTAATTCTGATATATCCTACTTTGAATTTACAGATAAGATTATTTAAGAAATTGAACGTAATAAGCCAATGATGCAATAGATTTTGCTAGTAGTCACCTTCATTATCTTTACGCTTATTATTAATCTATTTAAATTACTCTTTACGCAATATGACATTTGAACTTAATATTGTGTATTTCAATATTCATTATGTCAAATAGAATGTTTTTATTTACTTTTTAGTTAATGGCCATCTTTAGAAATAGAACTGGAATAGAAGATTGGATTTTAGAAAAAGCACAGTCTCGCAGAACAGGAGGAAAAGAAAAATTTATCTACCCTTACTCAAGAGGATGGTTAATAGATGCAAAGCAAGTATTGACTTGGAATTGTATCCCAGTTGGAGATGGTATCATGTGGCCAGTCATTGAAGGCTGTGACCAATATACTCTTACGGTTTGTGTTAATTCTATAAAAAATGATAAACTGGTACCATTTAAGAGTTATATTATCATTTAGTAGTATTATTTTTCTTTTCAGAGGGAACAATTAGCTCAGAAGACAGAGAAACGGAAACGAGCAAGGAGGTACAGAATAGTAGCAAAAGCATCGGGATCGTGGTTCCCAGTGACTCACGGATGGAAAGTCTTTTTGCACCCACCTCGCACGGATGAACCACGCATTAAACTTGACATTGGTGACATTGTAATGGTCACTCGTTGGCATAGGTTCGTATCGCATTTAAAAAATCCATTAAGAAAGGTAAAATGTATTTCTTTTACGTTTATGTATTATTCAGGTATTGGTTATTTGGAGAAAAGGAACAAGAACGACCAGTTAACTCTGCAGTAAAGCGAATTCGTGGATGGTTTCCTAAACCATGTGCTCTGGAGATTATAGAGAGTGACGGTGATCTGTCGTCATTTTCTAAAGTCGATTGAAAGTCATTACATACATATATGTATTTTAACTGACATGTGCATTCTGAATTACAATGCGTGCTTGTCATGCAAGAGATAAATGATTTATACAGTTTTGTACAGTGACATTACCCGCGAAAGAAGTACCTAGTATAAATGTAAATGTAAACGTGAATGTAATATAGATTACGTCTATTTTCCAGAAATTTCATATTTAAAGTGATATTCTGGGAAAATAAGGACTTGACTGAAAAATGACCTTACTTTCTTGTACTCAAGATATGTTACCCGTAACTTGATAATTATTTTCTCATATTTTAATTAAAGAAAGGTCCCGAAGGACTTCAACGATAAATCAAAGGCACTGGATATATAAACAGGGTTGTACCATCGCTACATAGGAACTGTAACATACCATTTCATAAACCGTTTTATCCTCCGTACTTTTATATTTAATTTATATTATTAATTTTAAGTACTTATGAGTGTTCACCCGAGGAGGCAGTCATTCCGCATTTGCGATGCGAAACTCACCGTCGATATGTGACTTAAGTTATGTGATCTTCCTTGGAATAAATTCCTACGAATAAAAATCAAATATCGTATATCTCTCAACCGAAAGGTATGAATGGTTTGTACTTCTGCTATCTTCGGTTGAGAAAACACTCAACAGTGTTCCAATGGACTTCAGACTGTCGATATTGAATTCTGGACAAAATCAACTGAATCTCCTTCGTTAGTTACGTCCGAAATATTCAGTAAAAGGTATTTTCTTTACACAAAAAAAAGAGAGAAACGTCAAACAAGAATAAGGAGTATTTTCTTTAATCGATTCTTTTCACTTAGAGAGTATTTAGGAATAGAAACGTATTACTCCTAAAATTCCAAGAAATGCGCGATCGATGAGTATTCGGGTAATTTACGAATACCGATAGCGATCCTTTAACACTAAATCCACCGACTTTTTATACCCCCATTACAAATACCATTTAAACCGGCCAATTTGACCCGCCGGTGGTAGGTTTAGTGTTAAAAATGAACTCACGATTGCAATCTAGTAGTATTAAGTTTCCAAATTTCTTTGAAGTTCTGAGCGTGTCCGGTCATATTTGAAAATCGTAAGGGGTGCGCATTGAGGCGACTTCAAGGAAATTTATGCGCGGACTCATGCTCGTGACACTTTCCTAACGAAGCATGGAAAAGCCGAGAAAATCAATATTGCAGAGTCGTGGTGAAGTAGGGCCAGTATGTAAAAGTTAGAGCAGGTTCACCTACGGATACTTGTAGAAGCATACTAGCGATCGGCTTCTGTACACATCGGTCAGGTGTATAATTTTCGTATGCACGTACATACGGTGTTGCAAATGTATTTGCGGGGTTGTACGGTCATGCCAGCTCCTGACGGAAGGGTGCACGCAACACAATTGGCTGTCACGTAGAGCATGGGGGAGTTTTTCGAACAAAAGAAAAAAACATTCGCCCCTCGTTTCGCAGGATCGAAGATGTACGCGCTATTTTCACGCGAATAGCGTCGCAATGGAATCTCCGAGCCTGAGACGGCAATTCCCCCGTACACAACATAAAATATTATTCTTTAAGTATATCACATTTTTGCAACTTCTTTCTGTTCACCTATATCCTGTTTTTCTTGTGCTCCCCCGTAGGAATATTTTTATAAAACGAACTATCATAAAAATTTATTTAAGTCCCTTGGAGGTTTCCATTACGCTTGGACAACTACCCTAGTAGCACAAAATATTTGTCCCATATTTGCTATATATTTAACGAATATCGTATATTTTGTAAATATTTAGCAGACATTTGAAATATTTGCCAAACGTTTACTTGAGAATATTATCTCTATAATATCTATATAATATTAGCTCCATGGGTTTTCATAATATTTTTCTACCAGGTATACAAAACATTTCGTTTCATTTTAATACAAGTATTTTTTAAATATTACCTGCCGAATACATTATAAACGTTTTAAAAATATTTAAAATCAAAATCACACGTTTTGCTCCCATAATGAAATAGCGGAACGAAAATATTAGAAAAATTTCTCGTGTTTTTGGATACCAAATGAAGTGTCCGATAATAGTCGTGAAGTAAAAAATGTATTTTTATTATGTTAATAAGTTAAAAAATATTTCTCTATATATTTATAAATTATTTAAACTAAATATGTCATTGAGATTTTGAACGAATATTAGAAATATCTTCGAATGAAATCTACAAGAAATCTTAAAAAATCTGTCGCTTGAGATATTTGGCAAAGGTTACAAAGAAATATTTAGAACTTATTCTATGCTACTAGGGTATGCATATGTGGTAGCTTACGTCTCGAAACATTTGTTTTGCATTAAGATATTACATTTTAGTTGTATTTAAATTATGTTCAGTACATCCAGCACTGACGAGGTATTCCGAACAACTTTTCCACTTCGGATTGCATGGGAAAACTTTAACGAAAAATGCACCTTTGCCATTTTTGCTCAAGAGGGCGAAGTACTTGTCGATTGTGCGATGTTGAAAAGAAATAAGGCTAGTCGGAGCTGTGGCGGTACGCACGATAGTATCGTAGGGATCGAGTGAAAGTGACAATAATTAGCAAAACCGAGCTGAGTCCACCTTTGAGATTGAATGGTGGGATGCGAGCAACATTTGACTTACTCAACCAAGTGCTGGTTCGACTGCCTGCAGTTTCTTTCGAGCAGTTCTGTCGAAAGGGCAGCTGATCAGTTCCGAGCGTTTAGTCGTATCAAGTTGACGATACGAAGTGGATGCGAAGGTGATCGTCTCCTCGACATTAATTTTATTCTATCATTGTTGTACATTTAAACATTTTTATATCTCTTAAACGTTCAAAATATATACTCGAAAACCAGAGATAGATAAATTATTAACGAGAAGAAGGAAAAAAAAATGAAGAGTATGAGAAGTGATATCGACAGGGGAGATTATTATATGATAAATTGGCGTTGACACGAATTTCCGAATATCTAGGCATTATTCAGAGTAATTATAAATTAACTCCTACTATATCCGCTTCTACAAATGAAGCTCTTGGATGAATTAAGGTTGCGAATTGCTCATGCGACAAATAGAAAAAGAAAAATGGGGAAAAGGGTGCAGCATCTATTGAGAGGGAACGAATGTATACGCGGTAGAGAGAGGTATCGACTTCGACATAAATCTTCGAATGGTTTCAGGACCTTTCCTCTAATTACTTTGGTTCATCCAATGTTCTTCTATCGCGGTAAAAATAGACGAGGATATAGGATCGTGGAAACGAAGGGCAAGGTCGAATACTTCGATATATCTTCTACGTTGTCGAATGGCTCTTCCTTTTATTGATTTTAATCGACTTTCATTTATTATCGGATCTTTTTAACATTCCTGTTCGCGGCATGGCGATAACGCTATCGGTGAATCGAACGCGTTTACTTGATCAGAGAAAAATTCTCAAAAGGAGACTTATAATTAAAAAATAAAATGATACAACGCCAAATAATCATAAATTATTTCCTTGCGAAAACGTCAGACCCCGTTTAAGAGAAGTACATGAAAAAGTGATAGGTTTACAAGCCCCATTTACTTTTTCTTTCATTATCCTTGGCCTCTTAACTTCTCCTAATCCAACTTAAATTCTTTTCGGTACAATTTTTTCCAGAAACATTATTCCGCCGCCATCCCTCTCCCAATGTTATTTGCTGTAAATCATGACTTATTAACATTGGTATCACGGACATTTCTTGTGTACCCATTTCCACGGACCCCCGTCAAATTGAACCTTATTTCTTCAAAAACTCGATTTATGTAATCCGGAAACAACTTAGTTATTCATTTATAAATTCAGTTGTGTGACACATTTATCGCACAATTAAATTAATTACCAAAAGAAAAAAAATAGCAACAGTTTTTGTAATTTTCCTCGTGAAATCCGATACTCGTCCAGAGTTAAATGACTTAATGATGTTTTAATTTTTTGCCGCAACAGATATCAGGTCTCCGTTTAATTCTCCCAGAAGACAGCCGCCCTGTCGAGTGACAATGGACGCAACGAAGCTCGCGTTAATTTTGCTGTCGACCATCGTTACCCGATTAATCCCCGTGTACGGATTCCCTGACGGCGCACCTGTGGACGTGTGCGTGAAGCCACGTCCCAACGAGCCCTATCACGGACAAGCTCGTTCACAGCCCTTGGAGAGCAACCCTTACAGCGTCGTCGCATCCTCCGGCCAATACGGGCCGGGCACTCAAATCACGGGTAACTAGAGTTTACCGGCAACTTAATCGGCCATTCGGATTAACACCCGCAAGGCAAATCGATTAATCGTGCTCTTATTCACCATTAGCACCGGACACGTGTGAAGCAGCCGGCGCGTTGCGATTGCACAGTCATTGCGGATCGATTTTGACATTCGCACATTTAATCACGCGTGACCGCACGGGTCAATTGCGGCCTTTCTGGCCTTTGCATGAAACTTTTCTTAAAAGAATTAAAAAAAAAATCTCTGTAACCTGTTCGGCCGCGCTTGGTCGGTTACGTCGTGAAATATCGCTGACGCTGTTAGTACATGACTGAATATTGTTTCCTCTGTACAGGCATACCGCGAGATAGGGAAATATTGCGAAATTGAGTCCCGGGATCATTGTACAATACATATGACTTGCATCGAAGTAGACAGAAATACCCTTTTACCCCGCGACTAGAAAAATCTACAAATGTCATGACCGTGACATTTCAGCTCGTAAGATGACGATGACTATTTTCGAGGTATACTGGGAATAACATTAGGTTCATTAAGTATGGTCGTTTGATTCACTGCATTTGGGTAATTTCAGGATACGCTTCGGTCGAGAGAACCGAATTTCGGTGCATTTGCTCGAACTAGTTTGCGTTGGTCGACCAAGGTGTTCCGGTTAAATCACTTTGTTAATCCTAGAAAATACTTTGGTCAATCATATGTTTTGGTCAGATGTACCAAATTACTGTAATATTTTGTAAAATCAACCACGATATTTCGTGCAATCATCCAAGTTATTAATCAATGAATTTTGTCATGTCAATTAAATATTCCGTTGCCTATGTAATAACCACATTACATGGCGGACCTAACAAAAATTTTATCGATTCAACCAAATATTTTTCTGCGCATACCCTGAACAAACTTCGTTTTCTTTCAAGGGAATTATCTCTTTAAACGGAGTTAAAGAAACTGTAGCATAATATCAGAGAAATATAGTCTTCCCTTCAAAAATGCCAAATGTTTAGCTGTCCGATACATTGCATTGATCAAGTATGTAAAGTAAGAAATCGAAGCTACGTTTCATTTCCTTAACTCCATGCAAAGAAATCATTTCCTTGAAACAGACAAATTCTTTTTATTCCGTCATTTTTCTCGTAGTGCAATGAAATACGACGAATAAAATATTCCATCAAGTTATTTGCTGCAGACACTAGAACTATCAAGACCAGCCAAAATGACTGGTTTCAAATGGCCCATCTTATACAAAAAAATTCCGCCGGTAGTTCCAGTGTAATCAATCTTGGTGTAGGGTTTAATTTCTGATCGAATTGGGCGTGACTGTTGCAGTGACGATTTCGGGGACGGATTTCAAGGGCTTCTTCCTGCAAGCTCGGGATGCGAGCAACGACGAGTGGTTGGGCTCGTGGGCGCAGACCCCGAATACCAATACGCATCCCGAGTGCAGTGCAGTTACCCATGCGGATCCCCGGGACAAGCAGCAAGCCACCCTTATTTGGAACGCCCCGCATGCCGGCAGGGGCAACGTGTATTTCACGTAAGTTAAGACTATTAGGTCGCAAGCGACGCGGAGTACTTGCGCCGGTACTTAGTCCCGGTACTCGTCTAGGAGGCTCGGTGCAATTACCCAGCTTTTCCCGGTAGGCTCGCCACCATGGCGGAATAATTTCCAGAGACTTCGTTATTCCTCCTTCTTCCCGAGAAATACGGAGAAACGGTACCGGCGTAGCTGCTGTTTTCGTACGAAAACGAAAAAAAAAGGAAAAAAAAGAAAATCCCGTTGCGAGTGAAATTTCTAAGTTGAAGAAAGTTATTAGGTATTGTTAATTATTCTTAACAATTCCTTCACGAAACGTTCTCACGCGTTCGGTGCTGGATACGTCGAGGGTAGTTATTTTTAATTTTTACTTGTATTATCTTTATTCCCCCAAAAATTTCAATAATTATCTAAGAGAATGTCGCATTGACGCTAAGAAAAAACGTTTATGCAAATCGGATCAATACTGAAATTCAAAGATGAATTAAAATCGTGAGTAACCCTGCAGAAATATAAGTTTCACTTTCCGAATCGGGCCCCTTTCGTAACGCGCGAACTTACACGCGTTGCCGTGTCATAAGAGATTTCACGTAGTAATAAGAAGGATACGAACAAAAGTAACGGGTTATGCAGTTCGAGTCGACTTTTTGGAATTAAATTAAAGCTTGTTGAGTGTCCCGTAAGGAAGCATGCACCAATGCCAAAGAAAAATGTCCAGAGACTAGAGAATTTAGAAGCGGTTATTCTTGGTTCTTAGCCTAGTCTCCTTGTTTGTCGATATTCCGCGAAGACAGGACCGGCATATCGGATGAAAAATATATAAAGGGAAATCAAGAATTGAATAGGTTGGACCGGTGACGCGTGAATATTTAATTTCATTCTTTTTATCGATGTATATATTGAAAGGATAATCGATAATTGATTTAACAAGTTGCACGTTATTCTCTATTTCAGTGGAACCGTTCTTAAGGATTATGCGACGTTCTGGTCCGGAGTAACATCCAAAGTGGCAGCGTGAAAAATGCTGGCGTGATCTGTAAGATCTATTCTCTTCCTGGTGTACAGCTATCTGCTGAATTGTTAAACAGTTTTCTTTGGACCTTCATTTCCGTCTAATATTCTCGAGATATTCTACGTTTTGTACTTCAAAGCCACAAGTCCTTGTTCGTCATATTCCAAGACCCATACGCTGATGGAGTTTGGAACCGCTTTGAAGAACGGGTCCTCGGAACAAGATCCAGTTCTTTGAAGAAGAGGAAATGAAGAATCCCCTCCATTTCGTCCTTTTCGTCCTCCAAGATTTTCCTAGAGTCACGAGTGTCCTCTCGAAACTAAACCCGAGAAATTGAGAAATTGTGCGTGGTAACGGAGAATTATTAACTACTGACACAATGTACGCAAGATTTAGTGCAAATATGTCCTATGTACTATTATTGTGAAAATTATTCAATGTTTTTTTTACGTATCCAGGTGTTATATTACTCTGTACTTCCATTACCTCCATTATCCCCGTGCGAGTTGTACTTTTCAGTCTCATACTCACCTTTCTATTATTTCTTATCGACCTATTAACTTTTGCGAATTGACCGCCCTTGAAAATGTTTGGCTTTGCAATTACTACCCCTAAAAGACAGAACGGGTCTTCTATTATTCTAGTATATAGTGAGCAACTGTCAGTGCATAGTAACTACGGTTATTGTCAGCCTTCGCGGAAATCGCATCACTGTAACTTTAAGTCCAACCTTCGAGCCGTCGTTTTTCCCATACGCGTCAGCCTTATCGCAATTGCATCTAAAAATCGGAAGGAATGATATTTCCTTTTTCGCCTGTCAACATCGCCGAGTGAACTCAAATACATTCTCTGTCAAGAGCTCGACGTTTCAGGGACCCCATCATGCCAGAACTATTTGCGTTATCAGGAAGTGTAAACCTCGTCACTTGCAGACCGAATCGCAGATACTGACACAGGTGATACGCCTTAAATTGTTCACAATTGTTGAACGAGCTTTTTCGCGTCGTTACATCGCTCCCCCTATTTTTCATTTCTCCTTCGCTCTTCCCCTATTTTTCCGTCTTTCTCGGTACCCTATCGGGGACCATGCAGAGCGTCGCGTTTCTTCGCCTGACTCGATTAATGGAGCCTCCACTTTGCACGGCACGTGAGGTGAAAGATCGAAAGGACTTGCGTAAGACCGTGGGTAGGTAAAAGTGGGCCACTCTGACGAGACGGCCCGACAACTTTGAAAATGGCTATACCGCTCGTTTCGAACGACACACATGACTTATTCCCGTGTACGCGTCCTCGGAACGATCCTCTCCACCTCGGTCGTCGAGTGCGGTTCACGCTCTCTTGTACCTTACGCACGGTAATTATGCATCGCCTCCAGCGACATGTCCTATCGTCAGGAAAAAGTCGGCTATGTGTTGCCAAACCGGGTATTGAGAAACGAGATTCACGTTCGAGATGGTCGTGCCTTTATTTTTTTTTTCCTGCGACGGGGATCGAAGCTCGAAAGTGGTGTAACTTCGCAGAATTAATTTGATGCGACATTACGTGTACCGAGGCAACGAGAGTCTCCGGGGAAAATTTCTGCAGTCTATTCGGTTCATCGTAAACAATTTATATTATGTACAGCAATTATGCAGCGCCTTCAGTGAATCGTCGCTCGATACTGGCTTAATGTGTTGCTGCGGCGTGATATATTATACCTTGACATGGTACGCTATAATACGATATGATATGCGAAACATTGCGTGGAAATTTGAGTACTTTGAACAAATGAGTCGTAAAACTGCTAAGAGGTTTAGTCATATAATTTTCAGAGGTTTTGTAAGAGCTAATCTTGCCGTTCCTTCTAAGGAACTCGTGCTCGCGTCCTTGGAACTTTGCTTTAACCCTTTCGCTGCCACGGTGGTCCCATGGGACCGGCGCGGGTCTTTTCATTTGGGTCACAGGTGACCACTATGCATTTGTTTTTAAAATCATTTTGAGACAATTGCTCTCGAATAAAAATTAATGAATTATGCAAACATGTATACAACCTTATAAATTAAAAAGTGCCCTACTCGATAATAGCAAATGTTTATTTAATATATAAAATATTGAATCTTATTTTTTAGATATAAACAAAGTAATGTTCTTAATAATACAGCATTTTTTTATATCCATACTTTCAGTAACTTAAATATTCTCCCAAATTATTTTATGAATCAGTATAGTTCGTACTCTCGTGTTCGTGTATAGTTCATTTCTGAAATTTGTTGGAAAGATAAACTTGATCACGGGTGCCCACCACTAAGAAAAATCTGCTATTGGAAAGATTGCACCGCTATTTTAATATATTTCGCAGTTCTTTGCCATTATAAAACTTTTAATATGAAATTTGTATTGTGGCTTCTTGGTGTAAGTTGAAAAATTCGCGTGGCAGCGAAAGGGTTAATGATAACCTATGCCACCGTATACGTGCTAATGTGCGTTTTCTTTGCCGCGTGTACTCGTCGACGAGGTGAAAATTTGCAAAAGACCGTGACAGAAACTATATATTACAGCAGAATATTCGTTAAATCGGCTATTTTGTGTTTTACCTTCTACCCTCGTTTCCTTTCATATTCATGGGACATTTTATCGTAAATAAATGAGCTTTTGGTCAGGTTTGTGTTGCAAAAATTTGCATTCGACTTCTCTCGTATTTATTCGTTAAACAAGCAATGACGCGCCGATGGGCTTCAAAGGGTGAGCACGTGATTGATTTGAAACTTTCAGGACAATCGCTTGAACCGCGAGAGAATAGAGCCCGGGAAACTCGGCTGAGTTTCACGCCAAGTACATTTCGAAGGCGCGAAACTAAGTGAACTCGCGAGATGGCTGGCATCTTGCTAACTTCATTCCGGCCTCGTTTTATCTCGTCGTATCGATGCCGATAAATTTGCAAGAGTGGTTTTCACGTCATAGGGTGCAATTTTGCGGGGCGATACTCGCTGGGGAATCGATGCAACTCGGCTGCGAAATATTCCGAGGGAGGGACCTTAGGTTTCGTTCCCGCTTCGTCAAATCCAAATGACTTCGCGACGCGCGAGTTTACAGCGAATTTATATCAACTTTTGCTCCGAAGGGCAAGTTTACCATCGGTACTTCGAGGCTCCTTCTCTATATACTTCTTTCTGAATATTTAACCCATCTCGTCACCGATATCTCGAATTCTTAAAAAAGAAAAAAGGTAAAATACGTCGGCAAAGATAAAAATCCTGCGCACGAATCGAACACGTTTTGCATACCTAGAATGGATCCATAAATTCTGAAACGCGTATGATTCCTTTTTCCGTACCATTTCAGTATACGGTTCTCAGCATTGTCTATACTACATGTAATATGCCACAAATTGTCCAAAATAATGTAATGTAAAAAATTTGTATATCATATTCTCTATCATTTTCAAATTGCATTTTCTGCAATAGCTCTGTAACACCAGAAAGGTACTGAACAAAAAATTTGTATATCATATTCTCTATCATTTTCAAATTGCATTTTCAGGAATGCTATAACACCAGAAAGGTACTGAACGAAAAATTTGCTTTCCCGGCGATATTAATTACTTGCGGCAACCGAATGTTTCTAGGTAACTAAATTTCTTGACGTCAGTGAAGTTGCTATTGTAAAAATCATCAGTGTTGCAGCCCAAATGATGGCACGTTGCATTCAATTTATTTGAGTTTATTTGAGTTAATTCTTTGGATGAACAAAATATTTCATCGGTACCATTCAAGGCATTATTTCTCTGGTTCAATGACATTTTCTGTTTTCACAGAGCAGAAACAGAGAGTTATTTGCTCAGGGTCTTAGAATTCCACTCCAAAACTCTTTCCCCCTTTTATTTGATTGCTCAAGTTAATGGAACCTTTATTTAATCTTCTCTAGCATTCAGGATATTCCTCCTCCCCCTCCCCTGATTATCTTCCCCATGGCGTATAGAACTCATAGAACGGTATAGAGCCTCGCGCAAGCTCAAGAACCGCGCAGGGCGCGTTTCTCGCATCTCTGAAAGCTCCCAGTTTCTTAGTCCCATCGCTTTTCCTGGCCCCGTCTTTCGTTGACCTCGTCGAGGGAAATTGTCTTGATTTTCGTCAAGAAAGCGTCGATTCGCGAGCGAAGCGGCGAATGCAGGGAGAGTAAAAGCGGACGCGTCTCGCGGCGTCGCGTATGACTCAGAGCGGGGTGGGAGTGGGCGCGCCGGCGCGATGGCGTCGCGACGCCGCGCGTCGCGATGCGCATAGGTCCGCGGCAGGGCTTAAGGGCGCCGAGTCGCGTCACGGTGAGGTTGGCCCGGTTGCAGGTCGACGCCGACGTCGCCGTCGCGGTGCCTGAACGGGTGCGAGAGCTGGCCAGCCGCCCCGAGCGAGTGATGCGGCGCGATCGATCGCGGGCGTAGCGATTCGCCTAGAATTTGCGCGCGATGTGATATCCGCGAAGGTGACCGAGTTGGCAAGCGAGCGAGCGAGCGAGTGAGCTAGCGAGAGCGACTGCCAGGAGGGCGAGAGGCAGAGCGAACGCGAGGAGGACCGAGCGAGAGGGAGAGAGACGCCGAGGGAGTAGGTGCACAGCGCTCGACGATGTCCCCGACGTCGGCGACGTCGCTGCACGGTTCGTCCTCGGCGACGCGGTGGAGCACCCTCCGGGTCGTCTGCGCCCTCCTCGGCTCCTGGTGGATGCTCGGCGACCCTGTCGTCGGGGTGCCCGATCCGCCCGACTCGTCCGATCTTCAAGGTACCTCTGGCTCTATTTACTGGGCGCAGCGTTCTCGGTGCAGGGTTTGACGTTGCACCCGACTCGCGTGGGTTTCGTTCGATGCGGATACCCTTTGCGACTTTACCGGAAATGGTGATTCAGAAATACATGTTGGTTATTCCGGTAAGTGAATGCCGGCGACGAGGGGTAATACGAATATTTTTTCAGTGGGGTGAATATTGGTCCCCTCGTTGGGGTTTCGGGCCCTTTTTATTTGGCACGTTCTTGGGGCAGTGCCTCTTTTATCCGCATGGCTCTTGTTCGGTACCGATTCGATCTTCAATTTTACCGGGAACAATTATTGAGAAATTAATATTGGCTATTCCGATGAGGGAATGCTAATAATTGGGCGCGATGCGGCGCTTTTCGGACGGGGTGGTAATTGCGGGATCTCCTCGTTAAGGTACCGAACTCTATCTACTAGGTGCTGCGGTATTGGTGCAGTGCCTCTTTTAACGGTGCCCACGGTCTACGTGGGTCTCGTTGGATGCGGATTTCCTCTTGGATTGAATAAAAATGGTTATCGAAAAATTAATGTTGATTATTCCGGTAAACGAGTGCCAGCAGTCGTGGATGATGCGGGGTTTTTTCGATGGGGTGGAAATTCCAGGATCTCATCGTTAAGGTTTCGGTCTCCATTTAGTGAGTGCTGCGTTCTCCATGCAGCGCTTCTTCTATCTTTCCCCCCGGCTTGCGTGGGTCCCGTTCGATGTACGTTCCCTTTTAGATTTCACCGAAAATGGTTATTGAAGAAGTAATGTTATTTATTCCGACAATCGAATCACCGGGGGGTAATGCGGCGTTTTTTCGGTGGGGTGGAAATTGCGGGATCTCCTCGTTAGGGTCCCGGGCCCTCCCACTTCGTCCGATCTCGAAATTATCGCTTCCGCCGTGCTTCCCGCGGAGCTTTGTCCCACGGTAATTGAGGACCTCTTTAATTAAAAGTAATGAGAGTATTCTCGTTCATGAAGTATCGCTCAGGACTCGTTGCGGAGACACGGACGATATTCGGGGCGCCCTTTCTATTTCTACGAAGGAAACTACACCCCTCGTCAGGGGCATTCAATGAGCCGGGCAAACATATTTTATACCCCCCCAAAAAAATCCATTCATGCCCGCCTTATCATCCCTCAAAATCCTATAAACGTTCGGCACTCCGATGCTCGTTCATTCCCCCAATAATATATATTTTCGCGCATTGCACTTGATATCTCATTAAGAAATATAGAAAAAAAACTTGAAAGCGCTTCATCTATTCATAAGCTATATTTGAAAGCTTATGCAGCACCGTACCTAGGTTTTGTTTTATTTTTTGTTGTTAACCTTGTAAATGTAGTGCGATTTGATTGCACATCGCGAGGTACTCGGAGAAGTAGAGGTGCTCGAGAAAACCTGAAGGGATCAACGAAAAGGGTCGAATTCTTTTTTTTATACGGCTCGTGATCTATCTCTTGAAGATGGGCTTCGAGATATCTTCCCTCCGAATATCGCTGTCGATGATATCAGTGGCTGTTGTCGAAATATCGCAGTTTCGACGGGAGCCCTTGAGCCCATAAGTGTGCGTCGAAGGTGGAAAAGCCTCGGGTCGTGAGAATCGGTGGTTGTATCGAGTTATGTTGATTCAAGTCGACCAGGAGAGTGGCGGCTTGCCAAGCCAATCTCTAGGAAGCTTCATCGACCATTTTCAAAGATATCGAGATGGACAGCATCAGGTAGCGAGCGACGAGAGATCGATAGACCCTAGAAAGCTCCCTTAGGTGATATGAAATTCTGAAAGGGTTGATAATGCGGGGGGAAATTCCCAGGGTCTTCCTTCTCCTGATAATCCGTCGCTTACCTTTTGGAAATTTTGCCCGATCCGAACTTATTTCATTTGGGTATAATTTTGAAGGATCTTACAAAGGTAAGATACACACGTAAGGTCAATTTGAATAATAGGACCATATATATTGAAAAACAAAAATGATAGATATAAAAAAATGTACGGCTTACGATGCTCGAAGGAGAAGCTCGACTTGATTTTTTAACGGTGATTGACTACTTTTTCCGATCTCGAAGCTAAAGTAGTTCCATTTGTTGTGGCGATGTTACTTTCCCAAAAAGGGAACATTCTAACCAAAATGCGTCATTCCTCAAAACCATTCCGTGATTCTACATTTTTTTATGTATATGGATATTTTAATACCATCTCCTCAAGAAAACGTATATAAGGGCTGAAAATGATAGGGGATGTTTCGTTATTAAACCAAGTCGGTTAAATTGAGTTTAAATTGAAAATAGATACTCGGAAGGGTGGTTGTTTTTCCGATAAGACGTTTTAGGTGCTGCATCGACCATTTTCTATATGATACGGGGTTGATAGCGTCGGGTTACGAGTCGGGAGATGCATATATGTCTCTAGAGGCTCTTTAAGGTGATGCAAACCAGGTTAGAGGTAATATGTCGGAAGATTCGCACGATTTTTCTTTCCTAATAAATCCTCCACTTCCTCCCTCTAGGATCTTTGCATCTCGATTTTGCATCTGGCTATTTTTCCTCGAGAAAATCTCATAAGATGCTTACTGAAGTAGTGCGATGTTCTTGAACGTCATATAATATGAAAGGGTATTTCAATAACACCAAGAGTCGGCTGAAGGGATTCGAGAGGGTGCGTTGAACTTTATCAATACGAATTAAGGGGTTGACAAGTCCATTTTACGGAAATAGCTGCCATCCAGCTCAACTTTGCTTTTCCGATATCGGATATGCTTTGTTCGAGCTTGAGCGAGTATGCCGGGAAAATCGACTCTCGAGTTGATCTCTTTTAGTATGACAAATTTTCCCATCGACGGTGACGGGTTTAACTTTTCTCTTAATTACACCTCACGTGTCCCTCTTCATCCGGATCGAATATTCCATCAGCGAATCCATTTTATTTCACTGAAAAAAAACGTTTCACTAATCTCAAGTTTCCTCGAAGTATATTTCCCCTGTTTGAAAACATTTTAATACAACCATTGATCGGTACCCTTTTTTTTATGATGCATTCCTTGTACGTTCTTTGAAAAGCAAAGTAACTAAGAATTGCTACTTTTCACGCTTTCGAATATTTACATACAATATTTGGTATGGAATTTTTTGTACCTCGAAGTCGGGGAATTTAGAGTTTCGATTTTTCGTGGGAACCTCTCAATTCCTCTGTATTTTAAAGTGACGATGTGGATTTATTCGGATTGTTTAATTGGATTCGAGGGACGAGCTTTTGCTGTCACGAACGCGTTATTCGGTTTCCGTTATTGGACAGGACGGTCCATTTTCTTTTTGCCGTGGCCGCGACGAGTTAGTGCCGATAATTCAGTCTGGTTAAACTCTGCAGGGGTGGTACCACGGTAAAATGCCTTAATGGCACGGCAAATGGAAGAACTGCGTAGCACGGGGTTCGACCTGCGATACGCACGTTTCTATCGCTGTATTCGGGCAAACTGGAATTTTTCTTCTTTTTATGCGAATATTATAGACGTCACTCCATGTAGTCAACATTCAACAACACTGTCACCGGCGGTATTTTCCTTTGTATTTTTCGGAGTTGTAATAGACGTAACGAATTTTTAATACCAAGATTACGCAGACTCTGCTGCAAGAAGATTTTTTTGATGACACTACGTCTGGCTAAGACAGGACTTTTCCACTTTTTTTCGAGTATTAGTTACCGCTTCGTTTGATCGATGCCTGGATTTTCTACTTTCTATAAACGCATTGAATTTTCTTTTTCACATCTCTGTTATGGGTGTACAATTTTGAAGACAGGGATTCCATCTACTATGCAGGAACGATATTTATTACCTTGTTTGGTCTTTACGGAAATTTTTCACTTTTTCTAGAAATATCAGTTACGTCACTCCCCATTCGGTCAACACCTGGTTTTTCTACCTTTCTTGAGGCCGAGGTAACGTTCTCCTTGTTATTTCCCTGAGATATAATGCGAACAATTTTTAAGAGCGGGGTTCCATCTGCAGCAAGAATGTTTTTATCGCCTCGTCTGATATTGAACTTTCCAATTCCTCGGCAGGCCGTAGCGGTATTTTTCCTCGATTCTTCCAACGTCGCGATCCGATGAAATAGGGAAATTCAATCCGTAAAAGGTGTGCTTTCAGCATTTACCTCCAGTTCTAATGAAAAATTCTAATTCTGACCCAGAAAGTAATATAATGTCCATAACGCTCGAGAGACACTTTCGTTTAAATCATCGAGATATCTAATTTCTTCAAGCCTTCGATCTTCCATAATGGATGACTAAAAGGGAATAAAATGTAGTCCAATGAAACTTTGATAGAACAATTCCCCGAAGATCGAAAACTTTGATTAAACGTAGTAAAGGAATCTCCAGACAGCCACTAAGTAATCCATGGCATGAAATGGCTTAATCTACAGGGAAGATCTCAATTAATTTACTTCCAGCCCCTGGTGTATTACCAAGGACTTTCCTAATCTCCGTTTCATCCACCCTCCCCCTCGTGAAAACTTGTCTGGGTCGTTCTATGTTTCTCTTTTTAAAAAACTGTCACCCCCCGTTGCGTGATTTTTCGCAACTCCGTGGACAGCAATGGGCGAAATGATAAATAATAACAGTAAAGGATGATGAATGCCGAGAGTGCGCCCCGGGTTATTAGCTGCACTTGCGCATGAAAGACTCGTGCATGAAAGAGATAGGCTCGTGTCTGCATACATACAGTGTCTCCTTGTCCAATTAATCGATACGAGATGTCACGCGGTAGTCGCAGACACGGACTTTATGCGGCTTGAGGTAAATGGAAAGCTCCCACAGTGCGCATTTTAGCGACCACATTTGTCGCTTTTTCCGAAAAGGTTTTCCCTTTCGGCCCACCCGGGGTTTATGCGATTTTCAAGAGTCCTTATCGGCTCGACGAGCACTCGACTTGCTACCCCTCGTAAAGAGGGCTCGAAAACTGTTAGGGGTACAGGATAACGCTCAGCTCCTG